GCATGTATGTTATCTCTGTCTTACGAACGCATAAGACATGAAAAATGTGTGTTCTACAGTTTTAAATTTGAGCAATAGCCTTTAATAATAGAGATAATTAACTTACTATCAAACTTAAAAAGGTATGAAAACATTACCTCTGGTTTCAGAAATATTTTAATTTTTAAGAAAGTTATTATGAATGCCTAACTATTACAAATGAAAGATGTTCATAAATACCTAACTTAAAGATTATTAAAATAACGTAAAAAATAACCCGCACTTAAAGGCACGAAGAACACCTTTCTTATRCCTTTAAAGTCTGATAATATATAGGTAAATTCATTAAATTATTTTATTAAAGCTTACAATACAAAATTGGAACTGTAGAACATAAATTTGCATTTTGCCGTGTCACATGTCCGTAAGACCATCGATTATAACCAATGGTGAGACGGAGAAAAAAACCTTAAAACACACGGGGGCGTGGCTTCCTCGTTTTATGAATAATTGATACTATATTTTGCTATCATAATATTATTATATTGTGTCGAAATAAATAATTTTAATGGCATTGATATCGTGCTTACGTGTTGGATGATCCGTTTCACGGCGGCCTAATGATTGGACTCTGAAATTGGGTTATCCGACCGGCTCCTCCAGCAAATACCGTATTTGCAGACCGCCTAATTCTGCATGCCTTGGCTGTCCTCGCGAGCAGAGTAACGCGACAAACTTAACACGGTCGCTGACCCTGACGTACGGAGTACCTATCAATGAGTAATGGCTGAAATTAAATTAATTATGAGTATTATCTAGTATATATAAGTACGTGTTAGATTATCATGGATTAAAAATATGATATTGTACATAATATTTTAATTGGCACGTATGACGTAGGTATAAATGTATAATAATATAATTATGCATAAAATGGTAAAACGTAAAATTTTATCATCATTAACGTATTTTAACTTCGCGGGACGGATGTTTACAAATATTGTTATCAATTTATCAGTGTTATAAACACGAAGATTAGATAGTTGATAAAGAGACCAACCTCGCCCCACCACCATTAATAAAAAAACGTCCCAAGAAAAATCGTACTGCCACTGGTAGCGCATCGGTCGTTTACGTAACTAACGTATTATTAGACATTAAATATTATTATGATAATTATAAAATAAAATATC